CCAGGACTCATTGGAGGGTAATTGGGCACGGAGAAAAAAACTGAGGAGCGGGAGGGGCGTGAAGGCCCCGGTCAAAATTTGAGGCCATTCACGACGGCCCTGATCCCGCTCCTTCGAAATCTGTCCTCCACTGTCATTCTTACCCTCCTTCTTTGAACCAACTCAGCTTACGGAGATCGGTATCAGCGAGCAAGCCAGGCAGCGATAGCAAGACAGGAAAAAGAGATGCTATCGAGCAGCGCAGTGGGGACGTGCAGAGAACGGAGGAAAGCAGTGTGCGGGCAACGGGGGGGGGGAGATACTCAAACTTTACTCCCTTTGTCGGATTAAGTCTTCTCCGTCTTGTACCCGCAAGCCCCCTTTATTAGCTATTTGCTCCACAGCGATCCCCTTTCTCCTGCGCTGATCCACCCCAGAAGCCCTGCCTTTGGGAGCCACGGTCATCCTCCAAAGGGTCTGGGGGACTGCAGCCTGCCAACCTAGGAGATGGTACCGCTCGGGTACAGATCACTGCCCTAGTCGGTCCTCTTCCCCACCCTCTCTGCTGCACAACTCACATGTGTGTGTGGGGGGGTTTCTTCACCAATTCCACGCTTGGATGAGGTCTTCTCTGCTGCGGCGCCGATGCTGCTGCCGTTCGGATTGCTCAGGCAGGAAGGAAATGCCACGGCCGCCAGCAGGAAGTCACAGGGCAGGTGCACTCGAATGACACAGGAGGGGGGAAGCTGAAACTCCCACTGCATTCAGAAGATTCAGCTCGGGGAATGATCACCAGGCATCAAGGTTCCCCCCCGCCAAGACTTCCTTAGACCTTGCATGGGTCTCCGAAAGACCCCCCCCATTCCTGTGCTAGAGCCCACCATCCACATCCCAATCTCAAGGGGCTCCCGAACCTCTCCTGCGACGGGAGTCCCCTCCCAGGGTCACACCACACTTACTAAAAGGTTGGCGGACCACCACCACTCAAGACTCCCTTGAAATGGCACACTGGGTCACTAGTGTGTTTATACACAGGCGCTCGTTTATGGTGAGAACAAAGCGCTTTAGGCAAGCTGGCAATGCAGTGCTCTCTCTCTCTCACACTGGCGGGCGAGACAAAAAGACAACTTGCGGCCATGCCAGCTAGTAAAAAAAAAAACAACTTACAGGCTGTAACGTTAACAGATCTATTTGCAAGCCTGGTTTATTCACAGGCTCCCGTCTTTACTGTGAACGCCACAGGCAGATCAAGCCAGCAAGGATAAAAGCAGGGCTCAGCTTTTGAATAACGTAGCTCTCCACCACCCTGTTCTCCCTTTTGGCCTGTCAGCTGGAGTGGCGCAACAGAAGGCCTGGGGAAAGCAAAGGCAGACAGGAAGTTCCAACACTTGGAAGGATCCTCTCTTTTCCAGAGGGTTCCAAGACATCGTCTAGTCTTGCTCCACTCTTTGCAAAACTGCTTTCGAAACAGGATGGGGGAGAATCGTTCACAGTCCGAGACACAGACTTTTATCCGTGCCCAGACATAGACGCAAGCCCCGCGAATCTCTTTATTCAGCCAGTAAAATCAACTGGTAAAATCAACTTTCCCCATATGTTCCCCTGTGGGCACTACGGTCGGGGACGCAACATCTCCTGACGATTCCAGGCCCCAAGGAGGCCAGGCTGGCTGCTACCAGGGCCAGGGCATTTTCGGTGGTAACTCCTACCTGGTGGAATGAGCTCCCGGAGGAGATCCGGGCCCTGCGGGACCTTGTGCAGTTCCGCAGGGCCTGCAAGACGGAGCTCTTCCGCCAGGCTTTCGAGTAGGAGCCACCACTATTTTACCATCACCAGCTTCTGGCCCTGGGAAGAGAGAACAACAGTGCCACATGGAACTGGCAGCACTGATTGGGTGTGCCATCTTTGAGACGTCATCTTTATGGAAGATCTTGTTTGAACATCTAGAGCACTTAATAGGTTGTAATGATGTTGTAATATTGTAGTGATGCTTTTATATGGCTTTAATCGGTTTTATGTGTTGGCTTTGCCTGTCTGTGAGCCGCCCTGAGCCCGCGTCGCGGGGAGGGCGGGCTATAAATTGAAATCCTAAATAAATAAATAAATTGTCCTGGACTGGATCATTTCAGGCTGCAGGCGAATGCTTCCCTATTCCTATGCTCCTCCTACGAAAACTGATCCCTCCCTGCCCAGCAGAAAGACAGCATGTCAGGAGGAGGTGTAGGGGAGTACATGACGATGGAGGGCCCCACCGCCCCTTCTCCAGACACGCCGTTTCCCTGCTTATAACATGCAGTCCACCTCCCCACCCCCTGCTCGAAGTGGTACAGTCCAGGAAGAGCTTTTAATTACTTGATAAGGACGACTGTACTCGTTGGCCCTGTGAGCAAGAGACCTTTGCAGGCATCTTCGGCATGCTGACGTGTCAAAAAACAAAAAAAAACAGACTTTGCATTCTAGCAGGGCTGCTCACCATGTGTGAACCCACCTGCCGCTTCAAGATACCAGTTGACTGACAAAAGTCTCAGACACACTGACACATCGTTTCTCTCTCTCCCCGGTCCTGAACTGAGTGTGTGAGGGCTTCCCCTCCCCATCCTCTCTGAAAGGGCACTTCACACCTCCTCCACACAGTTCCCTTCTGGGCTCCCTTCAAACCAGCAAGCCATAAAGTTAATTCGAAAAGGGGGGCAAATATGTATACATCGCAACACCCACCCCCAGCTTGGAAGCTGCCCTCGCGACTGGAAAGAGCAGCGGACCCAAATTCTATCTCAAGCATGGAACACATTCTGACCTGCGTGGACTTCTTCAGATTTAGGATGCACTTGCTTGTTTTATATACCGGGCTGCTGCAACCAGTGGAGAGGAACTACATGCGTTGAGATGAAATCCAGAAAGCTGACTGTGGGAACGCTGTTTATTATTCATTTACCTGAAAAATTTCTATGCCACCCCTCCAGGGAAATCTGCCCTGTTCCACCCTCACCCCAGCTCTTGAGAATTCAGCTAGTACGCTTTCAAGTGCTTCTTCTCGACCACAAAGGCTAGAAACACAGGAGGAAAAACAAAACTCCAGAGGAGCAGCGGATACTGAACTCCACACTCAGTACTGAAGACTGCACTCGTAAACTGTGCATTGCGGCCTGTTCACAGTCCATATCATACAGCAGGACAGGACCCGAGAAGTCACCCTGTCTAGCCCCCTGACCCCCAAGGCCAGAAGCTCTCACTACTAAACCCCGTGAGTACACAAGCTCATCAAACTGACAGCCAAACTAAATAGCAGCAGATCTGCAATCTGTCACTTTTCTAACATTCCAAGAAGATGTGAAGGACAGAGCAGAATCGGTGCTTATGAACTGACAACCAGGCCGGGGGAAGGGTTAAAATGTCCACAATTCAGCCTTCCCCCTATGATTTTTTTGTTAAAAGCCTTTTGTTTTTTAAAAAAGCCCTCAGATACTTGAGCACTGCAAACAGAAATGCATAAGCCACATCACACTGAAGTGACGGCAGAGTAGAGATGTAAAATTTCCGGAAATTTTGAAGCTTGGAAAAAAACCCGGGGTTTTCCCGTTTTTTCCCCCCAGGAAAAAACGGAAATTTTCGGAAAAATTGAAAAAAAAAATGCTACATTAGCATTTCTTTTGTCTTTTCTAGATTGAAAGTCATTCTGTTACTTTAGGAACATAAAATATGACTATGGACATTTTTACTTTGCATGAAATTATCACAACTAGCATATTAAAAATATAGTGTATCCAAACAATTATTACAAACAGAATACCCACCCACATGCAAAAACAAAACTGAAACTTTTTTATTTTCTTCTGACAATCGCACCTCCTAAAGGAAGAAATGCATCTTGCTCTTGCATTGGAGAGTTCAGTTTGTAACCTAGGACTTGCTTGTCCTCAGTGCACAGAAATTAGATCAATCTGATACCATAAATATTTTTTAGAAATGATTTGGAAAATATTTGAACACCTTGTCTTGTTTTCAATTTTTCCAATTTTTCAGAAAAAAACAAAAAGGCTTCAGGAAAAACCGGGTTTCCCCCCGAATTTTTCCGGTTTTTTTCCGGGCCTTCACATCTCTACGGCAGAGCAAAATGCACCTGTTGACAAAGCACACAAATGACCCAATCCACTTACTACAGAGAGAAGGACACAGTACACTCACAGGGTCCCCAGAATCCATTCCAACCTCACATTAAGAGTTCGCACACAAACCACGCCCTCTGCGCAATGACCACAGAACCAAGCAATGGCTCACAGATATGAAATAGCCAGGCCACAACTCATCAACCAAGCATCCAAAGTCATCTCGCCACGCCGCTTTTCAATGGAGGCAGCTCCTTGGATGTGGCAGTAAACCGTCAAAAGTAGGAAGAGCTCAAGCAACTCACAAGTGCATACACAACAGGTCCGACGTTAGAAGCCAAAACCTAGAATGCCCCCACAATTTCAACTAAAATGCAATTCGAATTGACTATAGCCTCTTCAGGTGTTGCTCGTAGAGGAAGAAAGTAAGGAGAAAAGGAACGCCGGAGCACATTTCAATCATCAGAACTGTTATGAGCTACACAGATGATCATTCATAGCGTGATCAACCAATGGGGCCAATTTACAGCTTCTCTCGCAATCATTTTAACTGGGTGGCCAGCCGTGTTGGTCTGAAGCAGCGGAACAAAGTTTGAGTCCAGCGGCACCTTTAAGACCAGCAAAGTTTGATTCTGGGTATAAGCTTTCGCTTGCATGCACACTTCATCAGATACACATGCACACAAAAGCTTATACCCAGAATAAAAACTTTGTTCCAGGCATTTTAACTGTTGCCCATTAGCCAAAAGCTTTTGAATGCCTCCCCTCTCTCAAAACCGAGCAGCAGCTCCCCTGTTTGCCTCCATTCTATACACAAAGTCACCCTCCTAGACCTCATCACCCAAAGTTCTTTCTTTTTTTTGGGGGGGGGGAGAAAATGCAAGGAGCAGTGCATCACCCCATTCCACCCAGCTGGAAAAATACAGACACGTGACTCTGGATAAAGTTTGTGCTTTATAAAAATCCCTCATACACCAAAAAGCAGCTGTCCACAACACACACACCCCCGCCTTGGTCCATTCAGAGAGCCCCCCTCCCCAGCTCCCTGGATCAGCCAAGCACAGAGGGCACGAGTCCACACTCCTTCCCGAAACCGGATGAGAGGGGTAGGGGGCTGCCTTCATATGAGGACACTGGAAACAGGGACTTTTGTCGATCGGCCACGCTGAGGAACCACGATGCGATCTTCGCCTTCCGACGGCTCGTTCAGCTGACCTGGGGGGATAAGAGGAAAGTGTCAGGGTTTGGGCTGTCTACAGAGCCCGTTGGCGGGGGAGGTTTAATCAGCTTTGTCTCTCGACTGACTTGCTTTTAGGCATAGTCTTGAGCCAGCAGAGGTTTCTGCCTTGGCTGGGCCCATAGGACTATCACACACCATTAAGAGCCAGTTTGGTGTAGTGGTTGTGTGTAATCTAGGAGAACCAGGTTTGATTCCCCACTCCTCCACTTGCAGCTGCTGGATGACCGTGGGCAAGCCATAGTTCTGTCAGAGCTGTCCTTGAAAGGGCAGTTTCTGTCAGAGCTCTCTCAGCCCCACCTACCTCACAGGCTGTCTGTTGTGGGGAGAGGAAGGGAAAGGAGTTTGTAAGCCGCTCTGAGACTTTGAGTGAAGGGTGGGGTATAAATCCAATCTCTTCTTCTTCTCTTCTTCTTAATTAATTATCTTATGGCAGTGTGTTTGGAATAGCCAGGAGATCCCAGAGGGATTGTTTGGCTGCCAAAGCTGTAGCTTTTTTTTGTACCACTAGGTGGTGAGCTATGCTTATTTTTAGGCTGAGAGTGCTGTGACTTGCCCAAGGTCACCCAGCTAGCTTCAAATGGGGAAGTGGGAAATCGAACCCGGTTCTCCAGATTAGAGTCTGCTACTCTTAACCACTACACCAAACAGCCACCCTGCCGGGAGCCGCAAAGTATATGTGAAAGAGCCGCGTGCAGCTCCCGAGTCACAGTTTGACCACCCCTGTTCTAGATCCAGCTGGCAGTGCCGGTCCTTGACCTGCAGAGCTCTTCGGGGCCTGTGACGGACATGCCAAAGGCACCCCTCCCCTTCCTGCATTCACCCTCCCTTTTCTTTGGTCAGACCCAATTCTCTTTCTGACACCGCCCATGCACGGGAAGGTCGTCACCTGCCACCCGGAGCCAGGCCTTCGGTTTCATCCCCGAGGGTGACGAATGATCCTCAGCAGAAGCTGAGAAGGTCCTCCTGGCTCTGATTTGCAACAGCATCCTTCCCTCGGCTTGGGATTTTGCCTCCGATGCATTTTCAGGGACCGTTTTGCATTTTTGAAGCAGTTTTGTACGGTGCAAACCTATTATGGTTTTAAGATGACTTCTATCCCCCCCCTCTCAGATACAATCTATGCGTGGCCTATAAACAAGCTCGCTAGCAGGGAAAGGGGCCTTCTTACCTTGTGTGTACAGCTCAGTGCGTTTACGGTCCGCCTGGATGAAGCAGGCCGTGGCCAAGAAGAAACCGCCGCCAATCACTCCCACGAAAGCGCAGGCCATCAGAGCGTACTCAAGGCTCCGGAACTGCGACATGTATGACGGGGGGCGACTGCGCTGGATTCGGTCGCTGATCTAGGGGCAGGGCGGGTACAAGAGAGGAGACAGATCAGTCAGCACCCAGAGGGTAATCACAGAGACACTGCCCCTCCAAAACGAAAAACACCTGGGTCAGAGACAAGAAATGCCGCTTAGCTGGTCACCCAAGGCAAGGAGGAACTGCCTACAGGCAAGGAAAGCAATGGCAAAACCTATCTCTGCCACTCTCTGTCTTACTTTGGAAAGAATGCGGCTTCGGAAAAACTGCATCTAAGGCCCCGGTCACATGGAGCATTAGGTACGCTAGAGAGACGGAAGATAGGCGGATTTTCCGGGCGCGATCTCACCGCCACATCTGGGAAGCATAGAGCTCCCGTGGCGCACCCGAAGCTTCCCGCCGAAGATGCGGGGTAAAAAGCTAGTACCTCGGAGGTACTAGTTTCCAGAAACCGCGGGGCAAGGGTGGGCGTCTGATCGCGTTTCTGGTGGTAGTTCCGGCACCCGCCCATGTCCCCTCGCAAAAAGGTTCCCCCCCCAAGTCTCCACGGATGTGCACAAGCACCCAACGGAGCATGCGCACATTTAAGTTTTAAAAACAAAACACAACCCCGTTTGCTGCGCCGCTCCGCTTCTTTGCCCTGTGTGTGATCGGCACCTTCCCCCTAACCACGGGAGCTTGACGGGACCTCAACCCGAAGCCTGATCGCGCAGTCGCGCGTTAGTTTGCTCCGGGGCAAACAGCCACGCCCCCCCCCCATTTTCCTGCCCGTGTGGCCGAGGCCTAAGAATCCTTTCAGGCAAGTAAGGGTTGCCATCTCTGGTTTAGGAAATATCTGGAAATTCTGAGGTGGCGTGTGGAGAGGGTGGGGTCTGGAAAAGGAGGGACCTCAGCAGGGTATAATGCCATAGAACCCATCCTCCAAAGCGGCAATTTTCTCCAGGGCAACTGATCTTGGTCGTTTGGAGATCAACTGTATTAGTGGGAAATCTCCAGGTGCCACCTGGGGGTTGGCAATCCTACAGGCAGGCAAGGAAAAGAGTGCAGCAGAGGCCACACCAGACGGGACACACTCCAATTTGATGGCACAGCAACACATTTCCCCCTAGGCCTGAACTAACACTGCAAAGGCCTACCCTGGCCGTATCGTCTCAGATCTGAAAAGATGCAAGTATCTGGGCTCTGCAAAACATTCATATAGCTTGAAGAGAATCCCAAGGTGCGGCAGCGCAGGAAAGGGGAGCCATTCGATTTAACAGGCCGGGTGGGAAGATGAACCTCGCAAAGGTTATGAAAAGTGCTTTTGCGATAACTCAGGACAGGCTGCTCCTAGCCCCTACCAGGCCAATAAGCGCAGGGCTCCCAGCATCACCCAGGAGATGGGAAAGCAGGATCTGGAAAGCTTCGGCCGTGGATCGACGGGTGGGGATGACGACATACTGGAAAGAGAACAAAGACGACTTACTGGTGCCCTCTGCTGGAGAACGGAGGGATCCCTCAGGGCTCTCCACGGGCTACTAAAAAATGTGATGTTACGCTTTTTACAGCACATGCCAAAAAAAGAGTCTTGCGGCAGAAGATTTATCATGACAAGCTTCTGGAAACCAGAGGCAATTTGTCTCTCTCCCTCTCTCACACACATGGAGGAGAAAAAAATGTGAATGGGACAAATGGTCACAGGTTGTACCTTTTGCATTTGACCTAACGCTCAGGGGCACAAAACGTATACAGAGTGCCTGTTCACGATGCCCCAAGGAGCAATACAGTCTTGTTTGGCTTTTAATGTGGTGCTTCTTTGTGCTTGAACCACTACACCCCATATGCTTTGTGATTCTCTTTTTATTTGGTGTTCAGTTTTATTGACTGTACTTGATTTTATGATACTTGATTTGTTTATATGAGCATCTTTGGCAATTGGCGATACTAAAGCAGGACATAAGTGCTTGATTTAAAAAAACAACAACACCCTGTTCAAAGTAGACTGATATTTTCCCCTTTCTCACAACATAAGAACTCGGGGGCACTCAATGAAACTAATGAGCAGCAGGCTTAGAACTGTACTTCTTCACCCAAAGAGTAATTAACACCTGGAATTCACTGTTGCAAGAACTGGTGGTGGCTACAAGCATAGCTTCAAGATGGGATAGGATAAACCTATGCAGCAGAGGTCCATCAGTGGCTATTAGCCACAAGGTATCGATGGAACACTATGTCTGGGGCAGTCATTGTCTGTATTTGTTGGTGCTTGGGGGGCAACAGTGGGAGGGCTTCTGGAGTTCTGGCCCCACTGGTGCACTTCCTGATGGCACCTGGCTTTTGGCCACTGTGATACACAGAGTGTTGGATGGGATGGGCCATTGGCCTGATCCAACATGGCTTCTCTTACGTTCTTACAATATTACTGTTATGGGGGGAGTAACAATGATTTGCGGAGCTGTGGTGGTTCAAGTGGTTAAGACGCTGAACTGCATTTGCGGAGCTGTGGTGGTTCAAGTGGTTAAGACGCTGAACTGCAGGCTGTGGAAGGCCAGTAGTTCAGCAGTTCGAGACCCGGGTGCCGCATGATGGAGTGAGCTCCCGTCTCTAGTTCCAGCTCCTGCCAACCTAGCAGTTCGAAAGCAAGAAATTGCAAGTAGATAAATAGGTACCACTTCGGTGGGAAGGTAACAGCGTTCCGTGTGCCTTGGTGTTTAGTCATGCCGGCCACATGACCATGGAAACGTCTTCGGACAGCGCTGGCTCTTCGGCTTTGAAACGGAGATGAGCACTGCAACCCTAGAGTCGGATTCGACTGGCTTTCGAGCAAGGGAACCTTTACCTTTACCTTTACAATGATTTGCACCAAATCCGGCCGTGACAGAGTAACGCTGGCTTCTGGTGCAAAAACATTAATAAAAGTAAAAGGCAGTTCTGCAGCTATTAAAGGCATCTAGGGGGGTACTTTTGTGTCAAAATGCGGGGTTGGAATGTTTAAAATATATAACATGAAATAGTTCTTCCTTTGGAGGGAAGAGAATGTCACCAACAATGGAGGAGAGGAGGAAAGAGAAGAGATCTAATACGGTGACTGTCGCAAACCACAGAGCTTTGTTCCCACCGCACCTTCCCCTTTTCCAGATTCTCACCAGAAGCATGTCGGCAACGATGGCCCAATTGAGGGAAAGGAGGGTCTCGCCAATGAAGATGAAAACCTATCAGGCATGAAGAGGAGAAAGATTATGCCAGCCGTGTTCGGTGCCCAAGGGCTATACTACAGGGACCGGGGAAACTCGAGGAGCAAGGCAAACTCACGTAAGTGGCGACGATGCTCCCCTGCGCGCTCACCACAGCCAGGAAGAGGAAGGGGGCTGAGCCGATCAGACCAGCTGCACAAACCAGGGGGTCGGCACGGGGGTTGCTGCGCTGCAGGCGCCGGGAAATCTCCACCCCGCTACCGACGCCCAGCACGCCAGTCACGCAAGTGATGATGCCAAAGATGAGGCTACAAAAGATGGTGACACCAAGCAACTGACACACCCGCCACTTGCCGACAAGCATTATTACCCCTGCGCTGAAG